AAAGTCTGGATACTGTAATAAAGGTGCACTAGTTAATGTTTTCTTTAAATTCTCGAAAGCCTCTTGTTCCAGGGCTGTCCATTCAAAGGTGACGTTTTTCTTTAGTAACTGTGTTAAAGGTTTAGCAATTTTCGAGAAATCATGGATGAATCGTCTGTAATAACCTGCTAACCCTAGGAACGATTGAACGTCCTTTACATTTTGTGGAGTAGGGAAAGTTTGAACTGCCGTTATCTTCAACGGGTCCGGTTTTATCCCTTCCTCAGTTATTACGTGTCCTAAGTAGTTTACCTCTTTCCTTAGGAATTCACACTTGTCTGGCTGTAGTTTCAGAGTGTTTTTTCTTAATCTTTGAAATATTTCTTCCAGTCGTAGATAATGTTCCTTCAGACTTACTGCGTGAATGACTATGTCATCTAGAAATACAAAACATCGGAGTCCTTGTATTCCTGCAAGAGCGGAATTCATCAACCTTTGAAATGTTGCAGGTGCGTTTTTCAGTCCGAAAGGCATGCGATTATATTCGTAGTGACCGTGGGAAGTAGAAAATGCAGTTTTACATTTGTCATCTTCTTTCATTGGGATCTGGTGAAATCCGGATGCCAGATCTAAAGTACTAAAATATTTGGCATTACCCAACTGGTCCAATATTTCGTTGATATTAGGCAGTGGAAAAGAATCGCCGATGGTTACATCATTCACCTTTCGAAAGTCTACTACGATACGCATTTTTGGTATGCCTGACGCATCACTTTTCTTTGGTACCACTAACAGTGGTGCATTCCATTGACTGGTACTATGTCGGATTATTCCGTCATTCAGCATTTGCTGTACTTGGTTATTTATTTCCGTCTTTTGACTTTCTGGTAACCTATAAGGTCTGATATTAATGAGTGCTGTCCCTGGGCTGACCTGGATTTCATGCGCTGTTGCATTAGTGCATCCCAACTGGTCGCCCTCTAGATAAAAAACGTCGTGATATTTTTCGCATACTTCGATCAATTTTTCCTTTTCTACTTCATTTAGGTGCTCTGTCCTTATATTTTCTCATAATTTAGCCATTCTGCCGGCTAAGGGAATAGGTGTGATTTTAAACATTGATGTTCCCTTCTGGTAATCGGTCTCTACGGACTCATGTTGCAATTCTTGGATTGTTACAGTAGGAGTGTCAAGTTTGAACACTTGCTCAGTCGTATTTAGGACGCTGACCAACCATTCTTCAGATTCTGGTTGAGTAATACAACCACCTAATATTATACCAGGCATTAATTCAGTTCTGTCAATAATTCCTTCCTTTTTATCTTTCGTTATAGCTTTTATTATTGTTTCTGATCTCGGCTTTAGCGAGATTTTCTTAATGGAGTTTTCTAACTTCCAGGTTATTCCGTATAACTGGAGGCATTTGCCTGCTCGGATTACTTGATGCTTCACGAGGAAGTCGTTTCCCAATATTCCATCAGTTGCAATGGGAAAATCATTTCTTACCACACGCATGAGGTGCGTAATGCACGCGTCTCCTATGCGTATGGTTAGCAATATCTTGCATATGGTACTTACTTCGGTATTTCCAATTCCTTTTAAGGTTAATACTTCATCTTGGGATAGTGCATATTTGTGCAGCTTCCCTATTTTAATTAGACTGACTTCTGCTCCAGAGTCGACTAACATCATGGATTTTGAGTCGGCTATTTCTACCGCTTCTATTTGGACGAGGTTTATTCCTCCCATGTTTTCTTTGATATGGTTTACGCCGTATGCTTCTATTGGTTTTGATTCGTTTTCCGAATTTTTATTGTTCACGTTCCTATTTTCTTTTGCTGAGTTTCTACCTCGCGTGAAGAATTCATTTCTTCCGGGCCTAAAGTTTCCTGGACGTAAATGCTTATTCTTAGTCCAACATTCTTGTTCTTTATGTCCCAATTTGTGACAGAAGTTACATTTTATTTGTAATTTGTTTATCTCCCTAGAAATGCTAGGAGTGGGTAGACTTTTTCGCGGTGCTACTGTCTTAGAGTAGCAGTCTCTAGCAAAATATCCTATTCGATTGCATTTGCTGCAAGTAGGGGGCATAGTCCTCCTTGTGTTTTCCTGTCCGGAATAACGTTTAGCCATAATGGAGTCACGAGTTCCACTACTTTTTTCTTCTTCTATTGCTCCAGTAATTGCCGCCTGGAGTGTTTCATAATGATTCGCTTTGACTATCATTCGAATTCTATCGTGTAGTCCCTGTTCAAATATACCTAGGGCTTGATTTCTTAATAATCTTTCAATAACTTGATTTTCCATGTGACTATTTCTTGAAGACGTTGAAGCCTTTATTAATTCTGTAAGCAAATTTTCTACCCTTTGCCCATATGTTTTTACTCTGTGCTGCAGGAAGGGGTGTCCTATTAGGACCCTCTCTTCGGTTTATGAGTATGTTTTCCCCGACTACTGGCTCTGAGTGGCGGTTTAAATATGAATCTACTGATCGCGAACCTGTCTGTCCTAACACGGAGTCGCGATTAGAATCGTTTTGAGGCATTAGGAGACATTTGTAATTATGCTAGGCTCGGTTTACAATGAGAGAGGGCGAAAAAGAGGGAGAGGGTGAGGGTAGGAGGGAGGCAGAGGGAGAGGGAGAGGGAGAGGGAGTGGGAGAGGGGAGGGAGAGGGGGTGGGAGAGGGAAAGGTAGAGGGAGAGAGGGAGAGAGGGTGAGGGAGAGGTAGAGGGAGAGGGGG